CTTGTATACTTTTTGAAAATACTTATATTTTGAAGTATACTTTTAGTTCAGAGCACTTAGGCCCCTTAATGTTTATAGTCTTATACCATGTAAGGTTTGGTATACTCGGTTCACTATAAACAAGGGCTCTGATACCAATCTGTCACACCCTGAAAACCGAGGGCGGAAACATTTCCGGGGCAGACTCCACATTGAGTATCAAATCCAATGCACATAGTAAGCGAAGTAAAACACAAAACATTACATTACATTACATAGATATCATTACATCAGTTGAAAAGTAAAGTAGTACAAGTTTCATAGTTACATAGTTTATACAAAAGGAAGACGTGACTTCCATTTGCTCCGTCTTCAACAAAAGAGCGCAGGGATACCTGTCTAAGAAGAACCTGAGGATACAAGCAGTTTTAAAATCAGCAAAGAGCTGGTGAGTTCATAAGCAGTTTATTTTTATGAAATGGTATAAGATTCCTCTTAAATTCTGAAAAGGTTATGACCCAAGAAAATCCCATATTTTCTTATAAGTAATTATTAGTCCATTTGATTACTCACACGATACTAGATATATGAATTCACTAACCCAGGAAAATCCCATATTTTCCTAAAAGTAAGGTTTTAGTTTTTAAAATCACATTGTAAAGTTTAAAACTATAAAACTATCACCCAATACTAATTATGAATTCAAATCATGGGATTACCATCCCGTACCAAATATAGATTTAAAACCATGGGATTACTATCCCGTATAAGATATAGTTAAAATTCATGGGATTACTATCCCGTAACAGAAAAGATCATGGGAAAAACATCCCGTACGAGTATAGATATAAAACCATGGGATCACTATCCCGGACTAGATACAAATAGTTTGATAATACCATGGGATCACTATCCCGAAAGATAGATAGATTCTAAAACCCAAACAGTGAATAAATTAATATTAATACATGTTGTGAGTCGGGTAACCATACTAATACGACAACGTGACCTCCTTGACGTTTGGCAGACGTCGAAACGATATCCAGAAATTTGTCACCCCAGGCGTGCCCGCCTAACTGTAGCTAGCAGTTAAGGTGTGGGATTGTCAATCCCGAATAGCTCTATTCACAAATTCCGCGCTCTCCTTCCAGGAGACTCTGGTTACACTTCCGGGGAGGATTTACTGATCATCCATAAAGGGTAGTGACTATCTCACAAACCAGTACTAAACTATTCACCGGGTTCTCATAAGATATCGACATACAAAAGATTACGAAACATAGTATAGTAAATATATAGATACATACAATGAAATTATCTGACAATACAATCAAATGATACGGAGATAAACTGAATCAGACATAGTTTATCTAGTAACCTTATATAGATATCAATACATTATAAAACGAATAGTAAAGAACCCCAAATTATTCCCATAATAATTTGATTAGTTTTGTTATTTCCTTAACTAAAATCCATTTAGTTATAATTGATAAATCATTCCTTATGCTCAGCATAATACATAAGGAGTAAAAGTGTTTATAAGTTTGTCAGATATTGTTTGAAACAAATAAATTTTATGATTTGAAAACAGTTACAGTTTGCTTGTATCCCCCCCCCCCCTGAAAACATTGAAAATGGTGAAAAAGCCGTAGGGGTATGAACTCACCGGACGCGAAGTTGTGTCGGATGGAAAGCTAAACGTCGAACCGAGGTTTGAATATGAGTGAAGTTCCTATTGTAATATTAAATAATACACACAATATATATCTAATTAGATTCAAATAACTAATTAGACACACTTGAACATTTTAAAATGCGAAAACACTCCAAAATGAGCGTTTGAAGGGACCCGGGTGGCGTTATAGGACATGAATGGCTAGGATTTAGAGTTTACTCTCCAATGGTAGACTCTTAGGGAATGTTTATGGCCTAAACACCACATCCCCATGAGTTTACGGCCGTAAACTCATGGTGGGTGTTTTTATGTGCTAAATGGCTTTAAATCAAATAATGGGTGTTGTTAGGTTTGGCTTTTGGACATTTGAAAGGGATTAAATCATTATATGGATTAATAGAAGAGCTTATGGCTATAAACTAAGAGTTTACGGCCGTAAACTCTTACCCACATCCATCTAAATTAATTTGAAGGCCAAGGATTAATCACATGTGATTCAACTCATTTTTACAAGGCTTAGGGTGAGTTTGGGGCTTCAAATGACATACATCTATGAGTTTACGGCCTTGGAGCATATGCTCTGGCCGTAAACTCTCAATTAGAGGGTTTATGATGTGTTTAAGGCTTCTAAACTATTTTTGGTTGGTTCCCTAATTTATTCCAAGGCTTTTGGTGGTGTTGGATGGCATTCTAACACTTTAGAAATGATTTTATACCCATGTTTGAGGAGTTTACGGCCCAAGCATATGGCTTGGCCGTAAACTCATACAATTCTCTCAAAATTGATGTTTAATGAGTTCCAAGTCCATTACATAATTTCTAAAAATCATAACTAGGGCTTGATTGAGTTTAGGGAGGGTTTAAGGGCTTAAAACCCCTTTAAATGTGAGTTTACGGCCTAGGCACCTTCAATGGCCGTAAACTCATATACAATGCTTCAAGTTATAGTTTAAGGCATTCTAAGTCCATTCCACAAGGTCATTTAGTCATGTCTAAGGTCCATTTGAGGTTTGCAAGGGTTTTGTTGCTCTAAAAACCCCACTTTCTTGAGTTTACGGCCTAGTACTGTTCTAGGGCCGTAAACTCATAATAATGGTCCTAATTAAATGTTAAAACTCGAATTCTAAAGCTAGAGAGGTTGTACAACAAGTTATGGAAGGTACCTCAAGGATTTGGAGTCTTAAATTGATAATTTGGACCCTTAACTTTGGATTTAGGAGAGAGGTTAGAGAGAGAGTAGAGAGAGGAAGAAAAAGCTTCAAATGGGTGCTTAAACACGTTTATATAGGTTCTAAAACTTGGACACGGTGGAATTCTACCCGATACTGACCTTAAACGGGGCTTTTGGTCGCACCCGATTAAGTTTCCGTCACTCGGCGGGGACGTTTCCAAACTTTTTGAAATAAACATTTTTGAGCTAGTTTCATGAGTTCCTAAAGGGTTTGGACACTCAATGGATTAAAATAAATATATAAATTTAATTAATTTAACCAAAAATGGGAAAAGAAACGAATTGACTAACGGTGAATTTTTACGGGTAGAACGGGTTTTCGACGATGGAAAACTTCGGGTTGTTACACACAACCTTATGGTTGGAATGGCCCGGGCCACAACCTTATGGTTGGAATGCCACGGTGTGTTGACTTACAACACAATGCAATACAGTCTCAACCCCACCATACCATGTCGACATGCGCATAACAATTAACATATAACGAACAAAATATAATCATATAACCAGTTAATTGACTAGAAATAATATCTATCTATTACTACTGTATAGCAACATCCTAGATACCAGGATACATAACCAAAAGGGGTTGGTATTGGTGCCTTCGATGCATAAGAAAAGTGAGGAAACTCACCTCACGGTCTGAAGAATAACTGAACAAGATATTGCTCCAAATACCTGCTCTACAGGTCACCTATTCAATAGATAGAGACCAAGGCTAAACAATAGCTCAAAATACCTAAAATACCCTTAAGTCAAACTTGGTCAACCCAGGTCAAAATCAATGGGTCAAGGGAGTCCACTTGGTCCACTCAGCTGAGTACCTGCGTACTCAACTCGATCCTACGTTTGGCATAATCTTGGCTTGACCGAGGTCGGGATTTTGACTGCATACGCGTGGTGTACGTTGGGGTACGCACAACGTACTGCCATAATCTTCTTTTCTCAATAACAACTTAATGCAATAGGCTCTTACGTCCAAACTTCATATCCAAGGCTGAAATACTACTAAGAGTCATAAAATTTTCCAACTTTATGACTTTTCATGTCCATTAAGTGCTTAATACACAAAATCCCAACATCTTAATGCCTTAAGACCTTCGAGAGCATATTTTTATGACTCAAGACCCCTCTTAATGTATGAAAGGACGACTTATTTGGTTAAGAGCATGGCATGCTTAAGAATCACCATATTTGGGACCAAAAGTGCCCTAAATGAAGAAATGGATAGATCTACAAGATAGGGTGATCAAGTTATGAACTTTTTACCTCCTCAAGGTCGCTAGGAAGGAGATAATCTCATATCCAAGTTTCTTCCAAGCTTCAAGCTCTTCTCACCACCTTCTTCTTCAAGAATGCCACAAAACACAAGGATAAGCTCAAGATGCACTCTTCTCACTTAGGGTTAGCTTGGGGATCATTTTTCTCAGATGGAGGCTAGTGAGGGAATGAGAAATGAGAGATAATAATGCTTAAATATGGATGAAACCCTAAAAAATAGGGTTTGAAGTTTTACTGTGTACGCCTTGCGTACACGGTGTACGGTTTGCGTACACGGTGTACGGCCAACGTACTAGGGTCCGCCCAGCATAAACAACATACGCTTGACGTACTAACTTCCTGGCCAAAATTACCGAAATGCCATTATGGGCCATTCTTCCAATCTTTTTGAACCCAATGTTCAAAATGCAATGTTCTTTCATACTTAAGGTTAAAATTAAAATACCTCATTGTCGGGATGTTACAGTAACCCTAATTACGGGTTTTCACATTAATCAACAAATAACAAGACTCTTTGCATACTTGATAACGGAAAAGTCATTATTTTTTAAATATAAAATAGCATATTATCGTGTACAATTAATCAATCGAGAACTTCAATAAAAATATGATTTTTCTATAAATTAAAAATAATAATAATAAAACTTTACTAACAAAATCCCATAAATATATTTCAGAATCATAGTGGAACAAAATCAAACAAAACCACGAAACCCAAAGTCCAAAACCACATAATAAAATACTAACAATCATTTCGCGTGCAAATTTTTTATTTTTGTTGGTCAGTAATTACGGAAAGGTAGATCACTCATTAAAATTTGTTGAGAATGACACCACCCATGTGACAAAATCCCTTTAATTTCAATCGCTTCCCGTTCGTCCTCTACAATCATGAGTTCTCCAGTGGCTCATTTTGGCACGTATGACGTCTTTCTAAGCTTTAGAGGCGAAGATACTCGAAATGCTTTTACAGATCATCTCTATGAGGCATTAGTGCAAGCAGGACTTCGCACTTTTAGGGATAATGATGAAATAGATAGAGGTGAAGAACTGAAGCCTGAGATCGATAGAGCAATCAAAGAATCGAGGGCTTCAGTAGTTGTATTATCAGAGAACTATGCAACTTCCACATGGTGCCTTGAAGAGCTTTGGTTGATTCTTGAACAAAGGAAGAAGTGCAATCACTATGTTCTACCGGTGTTTTATCACGTTGATCCTTCAGATGTAAGGAAACAGAGTGAGCCTTTCAAGATAAAAGTCAATACCTCGCCAAGGTGGACTAATGATAACGTGAATCGGTGGAAGGCGGCCCTTACGAAGGTTGCCGATTTGACTGGTCTGGTTCTTTCAGGGTAAGTTTCTCTGTTATTTTCCAAATACATTTCAACTGGTTCCACTCAAATACAATTTTATTGAGGAAGTTGCTATGCTCTGAAGTGGTTTAAGGGGGTTGTTTGTTTGCCAGTTGAACAACAATCTTAACCTACGAATTGGTAAGTTTCTTTGTTGTTTGTTAGTGAAGCTTGGAGAAATGACTCTAGTGAGATTTTGCAATCTTTTAAGAAACAAACCATAAATGTTATAGGTTGAACTTGTTGAATTGTTGTCTTTAGTATACAAGTGTTTGATTATTTTAGTGTTTTGCTGTTGCCAAATTACTTTGTTGCATAACCTTCCCATGTTTAGCATTTGGACAATTGTGGATATTGAAGCATGAAATCTAGCATGGTTGTGTAGCTTCTGATCGGAACCCACATAATCCTTGTGTCATGTAAAAAGACACGGTCATGCCACTACTAACTATCTAAACGTTGACCTTTTTCTACATTTTATTTGACCTGTGTTTAACAGTTGATTTTCGGAGGAAAATAATTATGTACAAATTTTTATAACTCCCAAGAGTGTATAAATTGGAAAAATGAAGTCATTTTTCTCTTATTAGCGTAGGCTTCTTTCAGGATTGTTTTTTTCTCTGCTCTCTTTCCCTCCCAAAATATAGACCGAAAGAAATTATTCTTCCTTTCCATTTCTCCTTTAAATGATAAAAAGTAAAACAAAGATGTTCATGGGGGATTTCAGGAATGATGTGTATAATTCTAATCGGGAGGAATCTTGGGACTATTCTAGCTCGGTGAACCACGGGTTTTTGTAGTGGAGCTTTGATTCCTTAAGCATCTCATCCTTAATTTGTTGTCTCATTTGTGTTTTTTTTTTCAGTTCTTTTAACTTACATCAGACCTTTCTTATGTTCTTGTTTTGTTACAGGCCTGAAACACAACTTTTGAAGGACATTGTTGATATTATTTATAATAAACTTGATTGCAAACAAGTTTATCTTCCATCAAATCTAATAGGGATGGAAACTCGGGATAAGGAGATAAATTTCTGGCTAAAGCAATCTGATGCCGAATTTTTGGCAATCTGTGGGATGGGAGGAAGCGGGAAAACGACATTGGCCCGATACATTGTGTACTCAAATTCCCAAAACTTTGAAAGCGTTAGTATTGTCGAAGACATTGGAAGTAGATGTAAAGAACCACATGATTTGCTTCAGTTACAAGAAAAACTTTTTAGAGATATTTCAGGAGGCAAGAGGAGGAAAATACCCAGTGTTAGTCAAGGTACAATCAAGATTGAAGAGGTCTTACAAGTGAAGAAGGCACTTATTGTTCTTGATGACATTGTTGAACCGAGCCAGTTGGTAGCTCTTCTTGGATCCAGTTACATTAACAAACAAAGCAAGATAATAATAACAACTAGGGAAAATAATATAGGAAAATGGTTTGAGTCCAAACCTTGGAGGTGTCAAGAGTGCCAAATGAAATTACTAGATGAGAATGAATCATTACAGCTTTTAAGTCAACATGCCTTTGGATCGAAATGTCTGATGGAAGGTTATGAAGAGCATGCAAAACAGGTATTGCAGTATTGTGAAGGAAATCCATTGGCTCTTGAAGTTTTGGGTTCCTTGCTAGCAGAGGATAGTAGCATCCTATTTTGGAAAAGTACATTGAGCTTATTGGGAAGAGATATTGATTCTGGAATTAAACGTGTACTGATTAGGAGCTACAACTCTTTGCCACATGACTCTAACAAACAGTTGTTTTTGCATATTGCTTGTTTCTTTGTTGGCAAAGACAAGGATTATGTGGTGAAGATATTGGAGCCTGATTACTCAGCAGTATCTGGGATTAAAACCCTAACTAATAGATGCCTTTTATCTCTTTCACTAAACAACAAACTAATGATGCATCCTTTGCTTCAAGAGATGGGGAGAACAATAGTACACCAAGAATCACCAAAGGACCCTGCAAAACGCAGTAGAGTCTGGCGTAATAAGGATTCTTATGATGTTTTGCGAAAAGGAAAGGTGGGATGCCTTTAATGTTTATGTTGAAGCTTATTTTTCCTTTCACACCCTTCACTTTTGTCTGAGATTCAATCATCCATTCTCTTCTTTTTTAATTAGGGTTCTGAAACACTGGAAGGACTAGCACTTGACATGAAAATGTTGACCGAAGAAAAGATGAACCATTCACTCACGGTAATATATATATATATATATATATATATATATATATATATATATAAAACAAGTAAAACTAAGGCCTGATCTTGATATGTATTCAAAAGAAATTATGATGATTTTCTTAGCTGAACATTATTTCTACGTTATTAATTCTAGATATGAGGTATGCTTACTATCTCTTTATGGTAAATTTGTAGTCATTAGACCTCAAGACTGATTCTCTAAAAAAGATGGACCACCTAAAAGTGCTCCAGCTTAATTTTGTGCATCTCACTGGATCCTACGAAAATGTTTCTGAAGATTTAAGATGGCTCTGCTGGATTGGGTTTCATAAAAGAATCATACCTCCCAACTTACTCATGGAAAGCTTGGTGGCCATAGATATGAGCTCTAGCAACTTGGAAGCATTCAATCCACCCATTGTAGGGAATTGTACATCCTCTATTTACCTCTTGTCCTTTTATAGGCCTGGTTTGTTATACATGCCATGACATGACATGTTATGACGTGATATGATATGACATGACATGAGAACACAACATAACACGTCTTATTGTGTTTATCATGCATTGAACTTTTGATGGTATTAAGGCCAATAGTACGGAAATTGCAATCTTTTGTCCCACCAAATAGGTGGAGCAAGGTGGGACAGGGAATCGTTCCCAGTCTCTCGTTTGTGCAAAAGACGTAAAAGCCCCTTCTCATCCTCACCATCAAGAATACCCCTAAAACATTTGTCTAGTCCCGTATAGTTGAGTCCACTTGTGTATAACAAATGCAGCCTTGACTTCCAAATTGTTTATGGTCTTTATGGCAATATACCATGCTAAATAAATCCTTTCACTTTTGCAACAGGTTCTTCCATTACTACAGATTCTAAATCTTAAAGACTCTCACAATCTATTGTTAATTGACAATATTTTCAGACTCCCTAAGCTGGAGACTTTGATTCTTGGGAATTGTAAAAGTTTGGTTCATGTTTGTGAAACCATTGGAGGCCTTACAAGTCTTGTTTTACTGGATATCACTGGGTGTAAACGCTTGCGCAAGAAAGTAAATCTGTTAGCAGAGACAAATGCAACTACTTCTGGTGGTGGAATTACAGAACAACCTTCCTTTTTTTTGCCACGTTCAGTGCAACGCCTATTCCTTAAGGACTGCAACCTAAAAAATAACTGTTCCTTTCCTCTGAGCTTCAGTTTCCAACCTCTCTTGCAGTACTTGAATCTCTGCAATAACCTATTTGAATTCCTTCCTGATTACAGTCATCTTAAAAATCTCCGGGTGCTTGACTTGAGTTTATGTTCCAGACTTAAAAGCCTCCTATGTCTCCCGAATACACTTGCAGAATTGTATACATATTATTGCAAGTCACTGGAGAGAATAACTTTCCAATCACCTCGATTCACATTGCAAGAATTTGGCTACCAAGGTTGTATAAATTTGAATGAAATTGAAGGCTTTATCAAACTGATACCGATAGCCACATTGAAAGGAACGGATTTGGGACATATGAAGTGGCTAAAAGAATATCAAGATCATGAAGTTCGCTTGGTTGGTGATGATGAGCTGACCATAGGCAGAAGTTGGCAAGTCCAGGTTCGTGTTCCTCTCTTAACCCCGTTTGTTACATAAGACCAGACAAGAGGCCTTGTTTAGTATGTGGCATGCATTGGATAAACAGTTGCAACTTTTGTCCATTAATTTGACATCAGTATTTGCAGTCCGAGTATAATGCACACCAAAGACAGTGCCTATTTAAGTTTGGTCCCGTGTATTCTTTAATTGGCTGCAACACCGATAGCTTGGAGAGTTGGATAGGAGGATTTTAGGCAATTGTCTGTGGTATTAAATTCTCAAAGACTTCTACTTCTAGTGAGAAAAGAACCACAAAAGTAGAAATAAACTAGCCACTAATTATCACTACTAGAAAATAGGATTTAATGGCCAACATGGCCTTCATTCGGTCAATAAAAACAAACTTCCCCATGATTCTCATATTTCGGTTTCCTTCAACAGCGTAAGGACATGCTTGAGCACACACAAGCATAATTAAATACTACCTACAAGCTGATCATATATGAACGACTAATGATTGAACTCTATTGCTTGTTAGCACAGATGTTGTATGAATTTAATATAAGGAGCACATCTCTGCCACACATAGAGGATCCAAACATGAGACCTGAGTATATATCAAAATCGTCATCTTTGTCCTTTGAAGTGCCTTTTCCACCTAAGAACAAGACGCTCAAAGGACTAGATGTAACATTCAGATATAAAATATCAGGAAACGAATGTGTATGGTTTGCTAAAATCAGCACGACCAATGATGTTGATTTCATATACAACCCGAAAGTATTTGGTGATCCTGGATTTGATGAAGTTGGTGTATGGTTAAGCTATTGGCCAATTGGAAACATATTAAATGCTGGAGATAAAGTTAATGTGTGTATTGATGTCATTAGCGGATTGGAGGTATACGAATGTGGTGCAAGCTTTGTATATATTAATGATGGCTTAAGGTATGAAACTCCTGAAAATGATATGGAGGGGGTTGAAAATCTTGGAAATCTGTCAGACTTTCGGCTGAGCTCAGGATCATACTATCTTTGTCGGCGTGATTTCTTTGAGTTAATGGAGGTCGGCAGACTCCCACGTGGTTGGTTTAGAAATATAATTGGTGATATGGTTGACCATACAGGTAAATCATTCAAGTTAAGCTAATTTTGGGTGTGTGTTTGTTTGTTTTTCTTAGTACATACATAGTTATTGTCTTTTCAATGAAGTGTCTCATTTAAGTCATTTGGTAAAAAGTAGTTTGACCTTCGGTGATTTTATCTAATACAATAATATTCAACTTGCCCCGGAGCCTAGTGGTTGGGGTGAGGAATTCCGCACACAAGATCAAAGAAACCGTGGCACACTAAAAATATTGATAGTGTTCTGCGGTTGACCTCTCATATGGACCCGGACCAGGTTGATGTGGGTCGTTCAAATGATACGGTTTACTATAATATTTAACCATATACAGTAAAGAACGTTCCTAAGGTCACAATTGTTACAGAGGTACGAGGATGGAGCAATATTGGTCGACCTAAGAAGTTGAACCCGTCATTTACGGAGTTGAAATATGTTAGTTGCATCATCCATGGTCCTGAATCGGTAAGTATGGTCTATTAAATATCTTTTTGCTATGATTTATTACATGAGCTTGATATGTTGTTTTGTTTTTACTTGATGGGCTTAATGAGACAGAACTTAATCCAACAAACTATATGTGGGCATTTCTTATTGATTTGGTGTAATTAACCAAAGACTCTTTTCACATTAAGTCCTCTCTTTCAATAAATTTGCCCTCATTTATGTTTTCCTTCTATTTCCCCAAGTATGCCGTCATATTCTTTGTCATCATTTATCCAGACAATAATTTACAACTTTATCTGGACAAGACTTGATGGGACACTAAAGAAACTAGGCCTTAGATGGTTTTATGAAGGCTCTTATGCATTATGGTTTGCTAAATTGTTATTCTTTGGTTTAGTCTTCGTAAATTGATGCCAAGTAGGTCGTAAATAATGTCATAATCAACTTTTTCTAACCTCAATTTGGTATTTTATTAAAAAACCAGGAGCAAGTTTACAAGATTCCAAAGAAGCCTAAATCACTATTTGTCAATAAAGCGACGGAGTTCACGTCAAGCATGTAATAACCTTGTTTATTGATCAACAAATTACGAGGTAATGAATGAACAATGATGTGAAATATGTTTATGTTATGGTGGTGACTCGACTGAAATTAAAAAGATAACAATGTTAAATTCAATTTTGATATGGATCTGTGCTTTTGCAATGACACATAGTAATGTATGACAATTTGATAAAACTTGTAGAATCGTTTAAAATCATTAATCATTGATTTTTATCGTAATTGTTTAAACAATGAAACAGATACCATCACTTACAAAAAGGATAGTTAGTTGTACATGGGAGCTGAGATGAGGATATGTTATCACGATCAAGTTTGCATCTGGGAGAGCATGTCGCTACCTTGGAATGCTTATGTTAAGTTGTGGAGACCGGTCAACCCTTTGACCTTATAGTTGTAGGCAGACCAAGTTTAGGGCAAATTTATCAGAGTTTATGTCTTGACCTTATTGACAAATTTTTAGTATTATGCCATCTTTATATGGATCCCTTGAGTTCATGTAATCTACGACAAGTAAGAAAAATTGTAATTCGGTAGTGTCAATAAAATCTCTCTATTTTGTTTTCTTGTGGACGAAGTCGATCACTCTAATCGTGTAAACCACGTTAAATATATCTGCAAACTGATGAGCTGATGGCACATGCAAAACGCGCACATGTCCAATAGCAACACGTTCCCTAACAAAATGTAAATCTATTTCCACATGCTTGGTACGTTGGTGCTGTATCGGGTTTGAAGATAAATACATAGCACTCACATTATCGCAAAAAGTCAACACGTTGCACTGATCAACCATGTCTACTGTTCCGGCTTCTTCCTCTTCAGCGATTCCATCTACCTTAACCATGGTTTGTTCTCTTACTAACGCGTACAACCAATTCAGCTTCAAATTAAATGTGGATGGTTCTCGATACAAGTTGTGGAGACAAATCTTCTCCAATATGTGTCGTGGCACTATGTGTTATGGGCATATCTCAGGCAAATCTAAGCCTTCAGGAAATGATGATGAAGAATGGTTCTCAGTTGATGCCCGTATCAAGTTCTTGTTCTACAGCACATGTGATCCGAGCCTACTTCAAATTATTTCAAGCGATGAATGCACTGCCAAAGAACTCTGGGATAAGATTGAAGAGTTTTTCCGTAACAACAAAATGTCTCAGATGTTGCAGCTTCAAGATCAGTTCAGAAACACCAAGAAAGGTTCTCACTCTATCACTGAGTATTGCCATACTCTTAAAAATCTTGCTGATGACCTTCGAGATGTGGACTCTCCTATCACAGAAATAGAATTGGTAATACAAATTCTAAGACAATTACCTCCATCATACCACAGCCTTGTGGATGTAATTACCAATTCCAAGCCATTCCCCTCTTTTTTGGAAGCCAAAAATATGCTTCTCTTGCATGAATCACGTGAGGCTGCCTGAGACTCAACTATTGAGTCTATAATGTCCCAAAGCTCCGCCTTGTATTCTTCCTCAAACAATAATGGCAGAAACAAAAACAGATGGTCCAAGAATCGAAATGCTCAAAAATTTGCAAGTAAAAATCCCAATACAAGTGGGCAACCGGATCCTCCACACACCTTTGCTGGTGTATTGGGTATTGCTCATGCATCATCCCCTTCTCATAGTTTTTTTGGACCTGCTGCTACTGTTTTTCCGCCGCCTGTTCCATCTTATAATGTTGTTCCGCCTGCTCTGCCTTAGCAACATCCTTTCCTGCCATCGCCACCTGGTTCAACAGTTGCTGTGCATCAGCAGCCTTCCAGCTTTGGTCCATCACCTCTACAATACCTCGGCCAGCAACACTTGCAGCCACCAGTTGGTCAGCACTCTCAGCTGCACCCTCAAGCTTCTCCACAGCTTCGACAGTCGAGTTACTCCCAACAACAATCACCCTCGGCTTCTTCTTTTGGGGGTCACCCACAAGCTACACCACCACTTCACAGATTTAGCATCGGTGTTTCAGGCTATGTCAGTTCAACAAACTCCTGACAACAACTTCTACATGGATTCCGGGGCGAGCTCGATATGTCCTTGTATTCCGGTAACATGATTTCCCTAATACCTTGTAACTCTAAATCTATTATGGTTGGTAATGGTGCTATACCTCCTGTCACTCACATTGGTCAAACAAAATTTCCGCACTCACATAACCGTCTTGCTTTAAATGATGTTCTAGTCTCAAATAAAATAGTCAAAAATCTTGTCTCTGTGCGCAAATTTACTGTTGACAATTCTGTTTCTGTTACATTTGACCCATTTGGTTTCACTATGAAGGATTTTAAAACAGGTGCTTCCATTCAGCGTTGTGACAGTGTTGGTGATCTCTACCCTATTGTCTCGTCTCCTCCTTCAGCTACCACCTATGTTGCAGTATCTCTTCCCACGTGGCATCGGCGTCTTGGCCATCCTGGCTCCTCTATCTTAAAGTTCCTGCAATCTCGTCGTTTTATTTCTAGCTCTAAAAATAAACTTCCCATCTGTCATGCCTGTCAGCTTGGGAAGCATTGTCGATTACCTTTCTCATCTTCTACTACTAAAACTTCTCGTTTATTTGAATTAGTTCATTCTGATTTGTGGACATCTCCTGTTAGTAGTATGAGTGGTTTTAAGTACTATGTTCTTTTTTTGGATGATTTTTCTCATTTTCTTTGGGTGTTTCCATTGCGTGCTAAATCTGATGTTTTCTCTGTCTTTACTTCGTTTCAAAGCTATGTTCAAAATCAATTTAAAACCAAAACACAACTGTTGCTTTAGACAATGGACAAGATAACTCAATAAGGAAATTGCGAAGCCATGTAGCCTCAGCAACCACATTGCCCACCCCGCGATACTCGGCCTCATCGGAGGAGCGCGAAACAACGTGTTGACGTTTAGACGACCAAGAGACAAGATTATCTTCCAGATAGACACAAAAACCCGAAGTTGAGCGACGCGTGTGAGGGCAGCCAGCCCAGTCAGCATCAATGTAAGAAACCAAGCGATCAAGTGAAGAGGGGCGTAGAAAAAGGCCATGAGACAGAGTACCCTGAATATAGAGAAGAATGCGTTTGAGAGCAAGGAGATGCGGTTCTCGAGGATCATGCATGAACAAACAAATCTGTTGAATAGCATAAGCAATATCAGGACGAGTGAACGTAAGATATTGAAGAGCACCAGCAAGACTCCGATAGAGACTTGGATCGGATACAGGAGCACCATCAGGAGGGAGTGAGCAACATAAGCGATGACAGAAGGGACCCTTGAGATCAGCAAAACATGTGACGTGAGGGAGGTGGAGCCAGGACGTCAATCACACAAGGAAGGAACAGCAAGCTTTTCTTGAACTAGTCTTGAACAACCGACCACAGAAGAACAAAATCGATCCAGGAGGGAGCGAGAAAAGAAAAAAAAATAGTGTATGCAGTGTTTTCTGTGAACGTACGTGAGAGGAACAAGGGGTAGGAAACCCTAGCTCGATACCATGTTAAATGTGGAAAAGCCCTATCGATTAGGGATTAGGAAATCCTAGCTCGATACCATGTTAAATGTGGAAAAGCCATGTCGATTAGGGATTAGCATTGCATATATATATATATATATATATATATATATATATATATATATATATATATATATATATAGGACTGGGTGAGAAGTGTATTAATACCAAGAGAGAGAGATTTAGGCTAATGAATCATGAAAGCCATGGTGGCTAATAGTTTCATAGTATGTGTTCAAAGTGTATTCAAGGTGTGTTCTTTACCCAAAGATAAATAGGCTGATTACATAGAGATTACATAGCTGGACAACACAGCTGTCCACTACACTATCTCCCTAGATTTACACCACCCACTACACTATGTCTAATACTAGTTTCATCATCATAATATGAATACTCATATAAATACATTCTAATAATAAGTATATCAGTTGTATTTGATTTATACACATATTATAGTAAGAAATGTTATGATATAAATAAATCACAATGACCCTATTCATTTTATACCAACTGCATAGGCAGTGTACAAGACAACTTTGTGGTAGCCCTGTCGAAAATACCCGATACCCGAATTACCCGTTCGATTTTTTCGGGTATCGGGTAAATTTTTCCAAGTAATCGGGTTACCCGATTTTTTCGGGTCGGGTAAAGGGTAAATTTTTTGGGTTTCGGGTATACCCGAATTACCCAAATTTTTTAAAATTTTTTTTTGTAGAGCTCGTACTATATAGCAGATATTTGATCATGCTTAAACTAACTATCATTATTGTAAAACATAAATATATTTATTATGACAATACGACACTAATAATATTAAAAGTAATTTTTATATATCATCACGTTCTTTAAAACTTAATTGTTTTCTAGATTATAGTTTTTATTGCAACTAACAAACTCATTATCTTGACAAAACTTCAGAACATGGCAAAATTTATGGCTACATTTATCTTAAACATTTTAAACTTTTAAATTAAGACCTTTAGGTATTTGTTTTTTTAACATCTTATTAGATTAATTAGTTGATATCTCATGTATTATTGACTAAAAAATCTCAATGTTCAAAGCTTGAGTAACTTCGTTTATGTCTCGTTTGTTTATATAAACAAGACTAATAAAGCACGACGTATTTAAATTAAGACCTTTAGGTATTTGTTTTTTTAACATCTTATTAGATTAGATTAAGTTGTTAAAAAATTACTTGATATCTCATGTATTATTGACTAAAAAATCTCAATGTTCAAAGCTTGAGTAACTTCGTTTATGTCTCGTTTGTTTATATAAACAAGACTAATAAAGCACGACGTATTTATTTCATTAAATTTATTTTAAGGTGAAATGCAAAAAAAAAAAAAATTATATATTTCGGCTAATACCCGAATTACCCAAACCTGACCCGATACCCGAATTAACCAAACCCGAATTACCCGAATTTAGTTTGGGTAGGGTAACGGGTAATTTTTCTAACATGAAAAACCCGAATTACCTGATCCGAATTACCCGAAACCCGAAAAAATTACCCGTTCAACACCCCTACTTTGTGGACCCTTCACATTATTAAGGTAACGACTTTATGCAAAAGAAAAAATAAGGAAATATTACAGAGAAAATTTACCAATTCAGGACCATGGATGATGCATCTAACAGTTTTCAACTCTGTAAATGATTGATTCAACTGCTTAGGTCGGCCTGTTTTTCTCCATCCTTGTACCTATGAAACGATTTGTCATAAGATAAACTTTCTCTATTTGAAGCATAAATCTAAGTACATATGCATAGAACTAGCTTAACAAAATGGACATACCTATAAAGTGAATAGTATCTCCAACTAAATTTCTAAACCAATCAGGAGTGAGTCTGTCCACCTCCATTAACTCAAAGAAATCACGGCGACAAAGATAGTATGATCCTGTGCTGAGTTGAAATCCAGACAAATTTCCTCCAAGAATTCCCACCCATCCGTTGTTATTTTCCAATATTTCCTCAGCTACTTTATCATCAGTGTAAACAAGGCTTACACCACATCCGTGGACCTCTAATCCACTCTTTACAACAATAGACACATTTACTATATCTTCAACATTTAAATTGTTTCCAATTGGCCAATAGCTTAACCATATACCAACTTCATCAGAATCAGGTTTACCAAAAACTTTGGGGTTGTACATGAAATCAACACCATTGGTTGCACTGATTTTACAGAACCATGCACAATCATCACTTAATATTTTATATCTGAAAGTTACATCAAGTCCTTTGATCTTCCTGTTCTCAGGATCTGAAGGCACGTTAAAATACAAAGACGAGAATTCTGATACATACGTAGGCTTCATGTTTGGATCCCTTATGTCTGGCAGAGATGTGCTCATTATATCAAATTCATACAACATCTGTAACACACAAGGACTAGAATTCAGTCTCATATAATCAGTTCATAGGTGGTATGTCAATGTGCTTGTGTGTGTTTATGCTTGTGCTTGAAAGAGATTCAACTAACCTGTATACATGAACTTCTGCCTTTGGTGAGCTCATCATCACCAATCAGGCACACCTCATGATTTGGATATTCTTTCAGCCACTTCATGTGTCCCAAATCATTTTCTTCAAGTTTGGCTACAGGCACCAATTTGATAAAGCCTTCGATTTCACATAAACTTATACAGCCTTCATAGCCAAACTCTTGCAATGTGAATCTAGGTGATTCAAAAGTTATTCTCTCCAGTAATATACATACAATTCAGCAAGTGTACTTGGCAGACATAGAAGCCATTTAAGTCTCGTGCAAAAACTCAAGTCAAGGACCCGAAGATTTCTAAGATGATTGTAACAAGGTAGGAACTCAAATAGACTATTGCATAAATTCAAGTACTCCAAAGATAGTTGCACACTGAAGCTCAGAGGAAAAAAATCAGTACACTCAAGATTGCCGTCCTTGAGGAACAGCTGTCGTATTGAATGTGGGAAGGAAAAGGTAGGCTGTTTTTCAACACTTCTATTAAAAGTAAAAGCTTCTAACCCAACTAACAGATTTGTATGTTCCATCATGAACAGGCTTTTACACCCTGTCATGTTCAGCACTGAAAGATTCTTTAATTCTCCAATCGTTTCACAAATATAAACGAATCTGTGACAGCTCCAAAGAATCAAAGTCTCAAGATGAGGAATCCTCGATAAGTTGCGGATTTCAAATAGATTGTATGAATCTTTAAGATTTAGAATCTTCAATGACTGAAGAACCTGTTGCAAAAGTAACATGATTTATGTAGGATTAGATGTCTGCATGAAGACAATTAAAAACTAAGAGGCTACATGGATAAGCAACAAAAAAAGGATACTGAATTCCTTACCATGGGAAGTTCAAATACTTCCAAGTTGCTATAGCTCATATCTATAGCCACCAATTTTCCCATGGATAAGTCAGAGGGTATAGTTTTTAGATGGAAGCCAAACCAGCAGAGCCATCTTAAATCTTCTGAAACATTCTGGTAGGACCCATCAAGATACACAAAATTTAAGTGGAGCAATTTTAATTTATCCATCTTGTTAAGTGCATCTGTCTTGAGGTCTAATGACTGCAAATTTAACATGAAGAGGGAGTGTAAGCTTACATCATATCCAAAAATAAATTCACACAAGATTCCATGTGTTGAGAACCAATCAAGAATCTTCATATCCTAGATGATTGAGTGTGATGATTCAGGTTATAATTGGAGCCTTCCCCTCCTCCACCATACACTATATATATATATATATATATATATATATATATATATATATATATATATATACACACACACAAGCAGACACATACACACAAAAACACACACCTGTGTGTATAAAGAGTTAATTAGAGGGTTATTGTTATTTGGCAAAGCAGGACATGTCATGTTGCCACTTCTTTAATACTATCATTTTTTACTAATATACTCATTTACAGCAAAAAGAATTTACAAAGCAACCTGCTTTTCTTAAACAAATTTCTTCATCTCCCTTTTGTACTTCCTTTTTCATATATATACATGAAACAGTATAAATCCAAAATTGATAGATAATCTAAGAAATTATAATTAAATCTAAACAAA